TTGGGGGCAGTGGGCAGGACAACTCAGATACCGGTCAAAGCGCCTCTTTTTTGGGTCCTTAACGGCTGCTCCCCTGTTTGCCCTGGAAGCTAAAGATGCTAACCTCTTGTGTGCAACTGAATCCTTAACGGCTGCAGCGGGCGCGGACGGCAGCTGAGTTGGAGAAGGCTCGACAACCCTGCGGAATCTGGGAAGCTTAATCGTGACAGGGAGGTGGGCATATCAAGATCCGGCTGCAGCCTGAAGGCGCCTGAAGGCGCCTGAGCGTTCGTCAATCTGCTGCTACAGGAAGTTTCCCAAAACCCTAAAATCCGAAACCTTAAGCTAGCAGGAGCTGTAGACTTGCAAGACGTTGCGACGGCTTCGGCTGATAAGACCCAGCGCACGGCGTCAACTTCACGGCGCTTCGTGTTTTTTTGCAGGGATTTTAGCGATACAAGTGGGGCCGCGTGTTGCAGCCACACTTGCAAGACATCCGGGCAACGTGCATCTGAAGGTTCAGACGCCTTCTTCCTCACATGGGGGTTCACGAAAAAAGGGGACGCCTAAAATCATTAGACCCACAAGTAGGAGGATCCCCTTAGACTGAAGGACTCCAACACCCAAATTCGGAAGCCCCCACACCTAGGCAGACCCTCCGAAAGACTTGTCGCAACCCCTTTGGTGCATCTCTGCGCTAGAGGCACCCAACACCTGGAAGCGCTATGTACAAAAGCTTCAGAAGCAGGGCGCCGAGCGTGCCGCTCCTTACGATGCTTCAGAGGACTCAGAAAGATGATCCGTGGACTTCAATCGAATCTTGCACAGCTTTTGAAACCCTAGAGAGCCCTAGCGGCCCTAATCCCCGCTTTTGGGCTCGGCCTCGTCCTCTGGAGGATCTTGTGGGGGATAACCCGAACACAGAGGAGTGCAATGGGCTGAGCCCTGTGCCGCGCTATTGCAAGCGTTGTCGGTGGCGCAGAGGAAGTGGATGAGGAAGTGGGTGAGGAAGTCGCCGAACCACAGCACTCTTTGCGCTTGCACTCGTAGCCTTCGGGGGGGGGCTTCCGACAATCGGGGTACCCTTCTAACAAGGATCTTGTACAATATTTTTGGGGGTGTATCAGGGTGACTTCTATTTGGGAAAACCCTCATCTTCTGCACTGAGGTTGAGGGTTTCGAGGAGGTGCTTTCGGTATAGTGCCGCGTGAACACTCCTGTCTTCCATCCTCGGGCAGCAGGAGGTACAGGAGTTGTCGAACCCTAGAGACAGAGGAGACGTGCGAGATTTCAAACGGACAATTCTTGGCTTCATGGAAGACAAGGCCGGGGGCAAAACTCTAGTAAAGCAAAAGGCAGAGGGTATCACTGGGCTACCAAGGGAGTGCCGTCCTTCCACACGTCGCCATTGCCGAGGATGGCCCCTAAAACCCTCTGAAAAATATTCCAAAAATATGATCCTCTTAAACCCAAGAAGGGAAAACATGAAATACCCCAAGGGCCTACCTAGTTGCCAAGGGCCATTCCGGGAAATCCCGCCGCCTGACCAGTCATTGGACCCAGACACCTGCGACTTTAGCGCCACTGTCCTGCGACAGGGGTAGGGGTTTGGGTTTAGGGTTTACAAAGGGTAGTTGCGAAAGTGGGACCCTGGGACAGGAGAACTTTGTGCCACAAGGCTCGACGACATCTCGCATGTTGATGCTTCAGATTGGGTGATTGGGCCTGTGGGGCCAGGAACTGGGACAGGACGAGCACGAAACTGCACCGAGCGGCTCCACGTTGGGCAGTGGAGGGTAAGGCTTACATTAACTTTTAATTCACAGCAGTGGTGCCCGTTGCACAGAGGGAACCCGATACCCCTAATTCAGGCGTACTTGTGTGTTAAAGGATGTATATTCAAACGATATACGCCTTAACTAGTGGATATTGGCAACCGACTCTGGGCAGGATTCGAGGCGATCTCAGAGATACTCGAGCAGCGCTTGGTCCTTCGCGAATCGAAGGGGAAGGTGGCGACAGTGAAGCCTGCACTTGCCCGGCTGAAGCGTGAGCTCTCTTTTTACAGGACTTCCATGGCGAACTCTTCGCAGAATCTCCTATCCGCTGTGGCTTCACTAAAGGGTTCCGGGTTAGGGTTTAGGGTGTCCGGACCCTGGCCTGCGCAACTTGCATCCGCCAGGCAGCGAGCTTCAGCGCATGCCTGAAGGCATTCGCCCCAGATGGTTCGATTTCAGGCCAGGGCTCTGGTAGTTTCTGGCCAAGGGGCTCTAACGACCTCGAGAAGGGTTCCTCATAGGGTTCCGTCGGTTCATGTCTGGCCATCAGTTTTGACAGTGCTTAACAAGACATACCCGTATTCGTTAGAAAGCGTGCCTCTCTCGTGCTTCGGTTTAGCTAAGCGCTCCATCAGACAAACCGATTCCTTGGCGTTGTGCCAGTGCCAGGGGCACAACCGAAACGGAGCCGCTGTGGGCAGGATGGAAGGAGCAACTCTTCACCCGTCACCCTAAACCGTAAACACTAAACCTTGAACCCTAAACCCTAAACCTTCGGTACCGGGAGGATGAGGCTTGCCAGGTTATGGGCTTCAGGCTGTTGTCGGAGGCCAGGTTGGCGGCCTGAGATGAAAGGAGCACCCCCATGCAGTTTGTATGCAGAGACGGTCTGGGCCATTCGGCGGCCTCTAATATATATATATATACACACATAATATATAACTTCTAATGGATAATATATAATATACAATATCTAGTATATACAAAGAAGATATACAACACGAATAATCATAATAGTAACAATAACAATCATCATATTAAAAAAACAATGACGATGGTGATGATGATGATGATGATGCTGATGATGATGATATGTAAATATGGGTATCTGAGACCAGTTAAAACCGGGTGCATTTTGGCACTCTACAGTTCGCAAGTCCAAAGTTCGGAAGCCGTCTCAGCTGGAGTCCAAAGAGGATTTAGGGTTTGGCTAGGGTTTAGGGTTTAGGGTTTAGGGTTCAGGGTTCAGGGTTCAGGGTTTAGGGTTTAGGGTTTAGGGTTTAGGGTTCAAGGTTCAGGGTTTAGGGTAGGACTCTGAGGCGACGGTGAAACCGAATTATGCTCCCGGAAGGCTTCTTTCAGCAAGGGTGCAGGGCAGGTTCCATTGAGGCTTCAAGTCCATAGTATATCATAAGTGCTCTATATACACATATACATATACATCTATATATATATATATGTATACATATATAAATTAGTTTCGCCCTATGAATATTGGTATGGTTTGATGCTTTGGTTGCCGAGGGTTGTGAAGGAGAAGCCGACGCCTCCAACTCTTCGAGGATGCAGGCGTGGGGAGCCCCTCAAGATTTTGAGGCATGCAAAAAAAAGCTTCGTCGACTTAGACACTCAAAAAATCAGGCTCCTGCTCCTGCGTGTTCATATGCGCTGCGACACCCTACTCAAGAACTCAGGTTGCGAGAAGCTGGCTGTAGGCATGTGGGGTTTGACATCTGTGAGGAGCCCATGAACTACTCCATGAGTTTGGGGGACTTGGTAGCCCAGTAAGCAGATCAAAATAAAAACACCCTTTTTTGGGGGTTGGTTACTTTATTATGAGGGAACCCATAACCAGAAAAAAATGTAGAGGGTACAGGGTACCACTGGGCCACCAAGGGCATGGCCCCCTGTTGTGCAGGCTGCGCCTTGCTCCGGCATGGGTATGCAGCCTGCACTCAACTAATATAGACGGCGATCAGATCTGGGTCGTCTGCGTAAGTCTCGCTGCTTGCGGCCGGTTCTTTCAGAACCGGGTGTTTCCTTGGGTGCATCTGGGCTTGAGCTGGGCTTTGCAGTTGACACTGCAATAAGAAACAAGGACAAGTTGCTCCACCCTACCAGACCTTCCACGTAATTACTTCCCTCACCACAGCACGAGTTCCCTCTGACACTCAGCTACGAGTAATATAGACGGCCATCAAATCGTAGTCCACGTAGGTCTCGCTGCTTCTGGCAGGTTCTTTCAGAACCTGGTGTTTCCTTGGGTGAGTGCATCTGGACACCGCACAACAAACCAATGCCATGTCGTTCAACCTTACCGAGGCTTCCACCTACATGCTTCTTCTCAACCACAGCACTCTTTCTCTTGCGCTGGCATGGCTTTGCAGTTTGCACTCGCTTAATATAGACGGCTATCAAATCGGTGTCGTCCACGTAGGTCTCGCTGTATGTGGCCGGTTCTTTCGCGACCTGGTGTTTCCTGGGATGCATCTGGGCTTGAGCTGGGCTTTGCAGTTGACATCGTAACGGCGGAGCCTTCTTCCTTCCCTCACCCTGAGTGGCCCGACTTGGGTAACCCCATGCTGTGTGTCTGGGGGGGGCGGGGGGGGGGGGGGGTGCATTTCCAAAGTGGTTCTAAGGGGTTCACCAAGGAGATCCCAGAAGCTATAGGGGTCCCAGAATTCTCCAGCATGTCTTATCGCATGTCGGGGTTTGCCCCAAGGTTCGAAGAGTGAAAGCTTTGTGCGCCGAATGGTTGGCCCGGAGGCGGCCAAGGATCCCGCTCCACACTTTCAAAAGACAAGGGTTGCGATAAAACAAAAGGTTGCCGAGTATGATCCTCTTGAGGCATCCAGTTTGGGCCCGCTACTACGGCCCAGGAAGACCTCTGAGCCGGGTGGCAAGTCCTCGATCAGCGCAGGGGGTGCCTGCACCTGCTGCAACTGCTGAGTTTCAGGGTTTCGGTGCCGGTCGCAGTTGACGATGTAATGACGGTGACAGAGCCCAGTTTCCAGCTGGTTCGGAGAAGCATCCGCACAGGAATGCCAACATGGCTACACGGCCATGGACGAGGAATGTCTCTTCAACACATGTTGGTGAATCAGGGTTTCAACCGTAGGCATTGTTGCTTCGAGCGTTGTCATGACAAGAGTACCCAGGTGACTTGAAGGGCCCCCCCCCCCCACCCCCACTTGCAGTGTCGAGGCTCTTGCAAAAAACTGGTGAAGCCCGAGACTAGAATCGTCAGGCAGCATCGCCAACAGTTTCCCCCTGTTGCACCTCCATGGCCAGGTCCGCTGCCACACGCCCGCGCCCGTTCCGCAGGTCTGTGCGAGCCCCGGCTGAGAGCAGCAGGTGCGTGATCTGCAGAATTTTCAGCTTTGACCAGGCTTTTGCTTGCTTTGGCTTTTGTTTGGGGCTGTAGGATTTGGGGTTTAGGATGCTTGGAGGCTCCGACACGCGGCATGTCATGAACAAAAACAGGGCAGACGCAACATTCTCATCGGCAGCATCTCACTGAAAGACCTTCCCACCCACCAGCCCACCAGCTGAACTGCAGTAGTTCGGGAAGGCTTCCCGGCATAACAGGAAGTCGTACAAGTCTAAGCAAATTGCCAAGATCTCCCGAAAGGGAGTTTTTAGGGAGGCCCATCTTTTCAACTCTTGCAGGGTAATTATGAGAAAACCTCAGCCCGGCCTCGAAGGCGCCACAGATGATGCTGCACATCATGGGGGTGGCGCCATGGTGGTGGTAGGCCAAAGTACTGAAGCGCGTTGGGGAACTGACCCGGTGCCTCAAACTGCCATAGCAGATACTGGCCCAAAGCCCAAACTTTTCGGACCTGCGGATGTAGAACTGCTCGTTGATGTCGGCTTTTGCCTTGATAAGCAAGGACACCAGCTCCGGCGAGTTCTGACCTTGTGTTGAAAGAAGCATCGACAATGCGCAACATAAACAATCCCCCCAGGGTTGAAAGTGTGACACAAGGGACGGCTGCCAGGCTGCTCATCATGAAGGCGAAGTGCAGACCATACTGCAAAGGCTGTGTGGGAGCATGCTCCAAAATCTCCCGGATGGCCTCTGGGTTTCTGCTTTCTTTGGAGCGAATTCTGATTGATGCTACTGGGTTTAAGGCAGTTTGAATTGAAGTACGGCGGTGAACAAACAGTAGTGCCGAGGCCTCCGTAGCACCATAGGCACATGCCACCTGGAAGGCGGTCACGGCCGGCGACGACAAAAGGGTGTGGTCGATGCCCGCGATCAAGAGCATCCGAACGGCTTCTGCGTTGTTGGATAGGCCTGCGTCCGCTGGAAGAATCGCCCTCTTCTAGCTTCGAAAGCGGCTCAACCAAGCGCTTCTTCAGATCTTCTCCACGTCACAAGGCACACCCTAGACTTGCAGCCCAGCAGCATGCCCAGTGCAGGGCCGTTTGCGAGTAGCCATCTTTTGCATTCAGCTCGGCGCGGGCAGAGAGGAGTATCTGCATCGCCTCGTTGTTCCGGAAACCTCGGAGGAGGATCAGCTTTCCGGTGCGACCTCTTAGGGTTCTAAGGGCTGTTCTTTTTGCAATACTTCAGAAGCCCAGATTTAGGGTCTTAGGGTTGAGTATTTAGGGTTTGGGCGGCTGATCTACGGGCAGAGCCCGCAAGAAAACAGGAAGACTTTCTCACGCGAAATGCAAGGCGACTGGACCACAGAACGAAACACCCGAAAGGCTCCAACAGCCACCATTGCTTCACGAGCTCTCCCCTCCGAAGCGCGAAGTTAGAACTGCATTTCAGGCCTGTCAAGGCCTTTCTCAAGCGCCTACCCAACGAATTCTAACACTCTCACCCTCACTCTCTCCAAACCCTAAACCCTTTTGCAACCAGGACTGTGCAGCTGCCGGAGAACTCAGGCCCACACCCACATAACCGGCAAGCAATTTTCGCAACCAGGCCCCTGTAGATCGCAACCTTAAACCCCTAAACCCCTAAATCCTAGATCCCCAACCCCCCAAAACCTAAACTCCCTCTGAATCGAGGCCAGGAGCAAGCGCATAGGCACCTCTGCTGTTGGACCCTTTTTAGGATAAGACAAAGGGTGTAGGCCTATGATGCCCCTTAGGGTCTAGGGTTTAGGGCTTAGAGCAAGAAATCATTCCCAGGATAAGCTTCCGGTGGAGCTCTTCTCCCGCTTAAAGCCCTCAACCCACAACCCTAAACGCCTCCAAACGCCCCAAAACCCCTAACCCCGCCCCGTTTCCAGGATTTTCGAAGACCGCGGCGCAGGGCCGGAATGCCTCGTGGGAGGTGTGCCTCGGGCTTCGGTCGCCGTGTCCTGTCGTTGACGTCCGCGCGCAGCCGCAGCCTCAAGAGTAGAAAGGAATAGGAAGACTAAGACGTCAGCAATAGTAATCAAAGCAATAAATGGAATAATGGAAGTGAAGTGATAACAAGAATAAGAATAATAGTAAGAACTAACGGAAGCCCAAAACGTGCCGGTTCAGGTTTTAGGGTTCAACATCTCTGAAGTAGTATAAGGGTTCCTTGGAAAGAAGATGGACTTAGGTATTGGTCTACCTGGCTGGATCTCGAGGAGACTTCGCGCCGTTTGGGCTCTTGACGAATATAGGCGCCTTAATAATTCGAAGAGGGTTTGCGGCGTTATTATAGTATTACTATGTAGGGACCATAGGGGAAAACTATTACAAAGTATTCCGATCCCTATAGTAGTTCTCAGGATCCACTTTTTACAGGCGGGAGGTAGTGGAGACCTAGGAACAAAGCAGTTGGAGCAACAGTGCTTCTTTGAGGCCCAGAAGCAGTGATGTTACCAGCGATGGATTGCCATTGATGGCAGCATAGCACATCGGCGGCCAGCCTGCCTGAGTCGGACAAGAGACTTCTCAACCAATAACGCAGCAAGCACACGGCCTTGTTATAGCCCCTCCACTCTTGTTCCCTGGACAGCCTCGTCGCCCTCCGTGACGCTGCTGAAGCCGTTCCTTAGAGGGATGCAAGCATCTTATCCATCCCTCTTGGTGAGAGTGAGGGGGTTTCACCACTAACCTAGACCTACATGGCCCTCTGATCTAAGGCCCAAGGTTCAAGTGCATGAACCTTGCCAGCATGAAGGCCGCCGGGTCTTCAAAGGGGTCCACATCCACAGCCATGCCGGGGACGTGGACTTCAATGGGCAGCACCTGCTCTTCTTGCTGACCCCCACAGCGGCTTCTTAACAGAAACAGGGTGCGGACATCATCAAACCTTTCAGCTCTTGTATCCCAAAAAACATCCAGGAACCACGCACAAGCCAAGGCACCGGGAGGTCCTTGAGGCGGAGGACCTGCTGGTTCAGGAGGAACCTGTAGTTGTGAAGGTCGCCTTCCGCGAGGTAGTGCTGCATCCTGCTCCACACCAGCTGGACGGCGATGCCAGCAACCTGCAACACCCCCCCAGCATTCCTTCACTTGCGGTTTTCTAGGCTGTCCCTGAAAACTCTCTGAAAGAGGAATATGATCCTCTTAGACCCACTAAGGGACATACAAAATGTCACTGGGACGCTTTTCTACTCTGAGCTCGCGTAAACTCACCCTTGAGAGCCTTCTCCCGGTCCTCCTCCAGAGTGAAGCTACCCTCTCCTGCACAGCCGGAAACTTGGAAGCTGGCAAAAAAAAGACTCCTATCTCTACCCATGATACTTTAGGGTGTCTTTTTGCTAGAAGAGCGTTGGGGAGTATGCGGTGGTATATGGGTTCAGACCTTAAACGGCTTTTCGGGACCGTGGGTTGATGCGAATTTGGCAAGTAGCTGTTGGACCCAAGTGCCCAAAACCTTCAGGCTTGCCCAGCCTGGCGAGTACAGGATGCTGGTGATTCCTGGCAGCAGCGTCAGGTGCGTGGCGCCCTCGACCTGTGCTCTGCTGAGCTTTTCGAGCTTCAGATGTAGGATTCGGAAGGTTGTGCACACTTCGACTATGCCACCCCGATATCTCTCGAACCTGAAGTGCAGAACTGGAAGAGGCATATGCTCTTCCCGAAAGTAAGTCCCCTCCGAATCAGTTCCCCCGAAAATACCTGCAAGTGCCCTAAGGATCTCGATGATTTATGTCTTGCAGGGCCACCACGATGACGAGACCCCTGGAGGGTGTCAGCTCGCGAGCCATTCGCTCGGCCAGGCACCTGAAATTCCGCAACAAAGGGGCAGGAAGCCTTCAAAGACCTCGAAGAATAGTAACCAAGGAACATCCTCTTCCACCGAATAAGGGAAGATGTAACTCTCTTGAACCCGAACTGGACTGTGACTTGCTGGGGGGGGGGGTCACGGAACCCTGAACCCTGAACCCAGAGCCAACTTGTCCGAAGAGCCCCCTAGGCCAGTACTAGAGGGGCCCAACCGGCGGATCCCCCCCGAGAGCCCCCAGCCCAGAGTTGATTCTTGTATGGCCTTACTGCGTTTTCGTACTTTAGGCTTTAGGTTATTCTGAGAGGGTTCTTACTATTCTTTACTATGAGAGGGATTGCTGTGTTCTCAGTTTACCAGGGAGAAAATAGCAGGCAACGGCAGCCAGGGTGCCAACCCCGCTGAGCCCAAGTCCATTGCGAGAGCACGTGGCCCAGCGTGTGGTGCCTCAGGAGTCGGCTCACATGTCGCTCTCGTTTTCCTGCTCTTACCCTTTTTTTGGGGGGGGGGGGGGGGGATGAAGATTGGGGAGTGTGTTGGGATCCAGGAAGTTCTGTTTGAGGGGAGTTGGGGTAGTTAGAGTGTTCCTCAGGAAGCCTCTTACTAGGTTTGGGGGAATTAGAGTAGAGCGCTCTGCCTCACAGCAGGGGTCAAGATGATGAAGTACTGGCTCTTGGCAACGTAGTGCGGGATGCTGTTGATGGCGTTGCGCTGGTTGTTGGTCGAATCCGGGCTGTTGCCCTGTGGGCAAGAGAAGAAGTCATACCACACAAAGAGCAGCTGCTCCTTCAGGTCTGCCGCCGAGGGTACAGGAACTCGCCCGTGCAGCAGCTCGGTGAAGACAGCAGTGGAGATCCGACTGTGCCCTGAGAGCAGATTTGTGAGCGCATCTTGTAAGACCTTCAGCTGTTGACTGTCGGGGTCGGGATGAGCCTCGCTAAGCCACTGATGCGACACAAAGAGAGCCCTTCCTTTGCTTTCATCAAACTCCACGAGCATGCCGGCGTCTAGCAGCTCCTCGTGTGGGTTCACCGCCGAGATCGCCAAGAAAACCTCCATGGGGACCGTGTACATCGGGTACGAGGCCCGAAGTGCCGGATCATTGTTGGCGCTTCGCTTCAATGAGGACGCATGGAGCTCCAAGGCGCTGGCCGGCCGGCCGCCGCGCCGACATGGCAGCATCCGGCACGAGCGGCAGCGCGCGAGCGAAGTCCGGAGCTCAGGCGGGGCTAAGGGGTCCCTCGGGGATCTTCCTTGAAAAGCTGAGGCAGCCCGGCAAAATGGGAATGAGGCAAGCCAGCTCGACCGGGCTAAAGCAGAGTGTTTAGTGAGAAGTGCCTGACTAAAGGTATCACACCAGAAAAGCTGAAGTCACTCCTTCTCAGAAGGCCAGCCGTGTTTCACTCTTTTGCCAAGGGGTACTGTCCCTACCAAAGACAGATCCGAACCTAGCAAATCCAAACTTCCAGCCAATGCCTCCCGTCCTAACCTGCCTTCCTCATCGCATGACAGAACCCCCTCCCCCCAAAAACAACCAAGAGACAATAATCCCTATATCACCCTTATAAGGAAGAATATTTGTTGTCTTTGAGGCTTTTGAGCAACTAGCAGTTGTTAGGATGCAGGGACGTCACAAGATGACACCTGCAATGGCACCGGTCTCTGCTGCCTCATCGCAGGAGTCAGGGTGGAAGTAGGCGAATCCTGTCTCCCCTGGGCGCGCACCGCTCCGCGGCTTGCATTGTAGGGTTTAGGCCACGTGCAACACGTGAAGCTTCTTTGCACGTCTTCGATTCGTGGCTCGATACTCTGGTGGCCTGGCCCTCGCCTAGTGCTAGCTAATGCTAGCTTCTGTAGACAGGCATGTGCATCGCTTGTCTTTCATGCCCGGGCACACTTCATGGTGTACTGGAACCTCCATGAAGCAAACACGCCACTCAAGCTACCCAAAAAAGGCTGTCTCCCCGCAAGCTTCCAACGATGGATGCGCTGTGCACTCCTTCCCCTGCAGTCGCACGGTCGCATGAGTATGTGTTGTGACAGCTCAGGCATCTGCCACTGCCACTCCCTAAGCCCCTTTTTGCACTAAAGAACCCCTTTCTGCAGTGGCCGAGGTGCGACTCCAGTCGCCCCCAATAGGCACGTCCTCTTAAATTGGCAGCTTGGTCGGATCGTCTCAACGCGCTGGATTTCTCTGTTAACAGATCGTTGGCATGTATATGGGAAATCGCATCAACCTCTCTGAGAGGCTGACCCCGGCCATTCACACAACATCTTCGGAGAATCTAGCAGTAGACGAGGCGATGGTGAATTGGTGAGTCGACCCCTGCGCCAGAATAGGGCCTAGAGAATGGAATCAGGAACCCCTGCTAAAGGAAGTCTGCAAAAAGGAGACGGTTGAGAACCCCCTGATGCGAGTCTGTATCTACTGCTGCCTTGTACCCCCTTCAAGCTCCGCAGCTGGCGAAGCCCAAGCCTTCGATTCCATTCTACAAAGTCGCAGGCCCTCAAGGCGCCTCATGGCCTGAGACTCTCCGACCTTACAGCTGTGCTCACTTTGGATGGGGCATTGGCTAAGGTTGCTTGGCCAGCAACGGGGCCATTTTGGGGTTTCACGCTTTCGGGGGGAGGGGTGGGCAGCCCGGTCCTTCCCAGCGAAGTTGCCCTCGCACGTGGCTGCTTCGCTGGGGCCTGCTGTGTTCCTTAGTTTGCAGATGCAGGCAGCCCTTCAGCGGGGCGCTCAAGGCTCAAGGAGTTCGAGGTCAGAAGTTCTCAGAAGGGTTCAGGGTCTGCTCCCGCGCAACTGCGCCTTTGGACGGTCTGAGCTTTGAAACGCCGGCTGCATCGTGCACAAGAGCAAGGCAAGAAACGCCCCGATCCCTGCGCCTCACGGAAGAGGGCGGAAGATTTGAAAGCTCCAAAAGTCCAAGAGCAAAGCCCCTGCAATTTGGGCGATTCGAGGCATGGCGCCTGGTGGAAGAATGAAAGTTTCATCTATGGCGTTTGAACCTTTGAAAAAGACTGGTTTCAGTGAACAAAATTTCGCAGAACGTCTTCCTATTGATTTCACCTGGGCCAAGGTTATGAGATCCCTTATATGCCGACAGTGGGCGTGCCAACCTGGGCGGGTCGGCCAGCCCTTTCCCCACCCGTCTTCTAAGAGCTGATTCGGGTAGCGTTTCTTCTCTCAACTTCGGCAGCAATTCCAATGTACCCAGGGCCAGCGCAGAATGCAAACGGCAGGAGAAGAAGGTCCGATGCCACCAGATTGGCATTTTGTTCCCTCCCAAGTGCAGCCTTCAGCAAGCACCGCAGCAGCCAGAAACGTTGGTAGTTTGAGGATCGTTGCAATTGCACGGCACAGTAGGACTACGCGAAACCCTTCCAAGAAAAAACGCTCTCCCCAAAACTCGTCTAAACTGCCAAGCCCCTCTCGGGCCTCCTGAAACAAACAGGCTGGATCACCCAGGAACCCAAACCCATAAACTCTACTTAAACTGTAGGGTTACCCATAAACTCTACTTAAACTGTAGGGTTACCCATAAACTCTACTTAAACTGTAGGGCTGCTGTTCCTTGATGGGGCAGAAAGGGCTCTCCGACCTCTCTCGCATTGCCTTGTGCCCCCCTACGCTTTCCCTGAATGGCAGGAGAGTGGCGAGGCCGAGCAAAGGCTGTTGCTGATCCTTGGCTGGTCTGAGGGTGTAGGGGTTTGGGGTTTTGCGGGTTTTGGGGGTAATCGCGAAGTGCAAAAGAGGAAGGAAACAAACGTCCCCAACTAATGATGTTCCACATTTGCAATAGTACCGTTGCTCAAAGACACTGCCAAGGAAATCCGGATTTTTGGAAGTGAGGACAGGAAAGGCTGTGAGCTGATTTAAAGGTCTTGAGGATCACCAATGCAAGCGGTTGCAGCACGGTGGAGCTGCTTCTGAAAGAACATCCAAGGAACGAGTTTGGCTCGCAGTAGCCCGGAAGAGTTGCGAACCTTGGGAGGAGCGGTCAGGCATGCGCAAGAGGTGTTTGCAAGGCACATGGAGGCTTGTCAGTGGTGGAACCTGGTCTTAAGCCACGTGTTGCCATTCGGTGTAGCAACGCCTGTCGCTTCCTGGACTGTGCCGCGATTGCACGATATGTCCGAACATTAGGACGAGCCCATTTGTCAAGCCAGGCGGCACGCAGCAGGCCTCTTCCACCTCAAAATCCCAATGGAATCTCAGAATTGCAGAATGCCTGCTTGCCACAGTCAAGTACAAAGCGTCCCCGAGACCTTTTCCAAAGCCACAGTCCACACTTCTGGAGAATCTGCATTCCCAGCCCTCCACACCCGCAGCCGATACTAGGGGTTTAGGGTGACTTATCTGATCTGATCGGAAAGCCCGGTCCCCTCGTAGCATCGCTCCTGTCCGACCCGACTAGTTTCTGCAAGGGACCGCAGCCCAATGATCCAAAGACTGGTTGCTGTGAATCAAGTTGTAATGTAACTTGCCTTCGCAAGGCATGTAATTCACCATCTATCCTTTCTATGGTAACTTAAGTTCAGATGCAGCAACCCCAAAGCACGTGCGACTGCAGCTGGGTCAGAGGGATGCCAGGAGCCACACCAAAAAACCCCGAGTGCCAACTTCAAGCAAAAAGCACCAAGCCGCAAAGAGGCAAGTGCAGTAATTCAGATGGAGCAGAGAGAACAGAAAGCACCAGCAAGCTAATGCCATCCACCCTGACATGTCATTTCGGCTCTCACAAAAAAGCTTGGCAGGAAATGATAAATCTCCAAGCGCTCCATGCAGCCAGCCTTGGCCCATCCCCTGAGGTCCCAGGCCAAGGGCCCATCGCCACCAGCGCAGCGAAGCAGCGACAGAGCAGACAGCAGGCGGACCCGACAAAAAATGGCAGCTTCCATTCGGACTTGAGGATCACTGCTTGAAGGGCCCTTTTCTATGTGGGCCGATGAGGATGACAAAGCATGAAGGGTCCGCGCTTGAGTCTGAGAAGCGTTTCGGGCTTCGTGGCCCCGGCCTTCAGGGCCTGTGAAGTTTGAAGCTTTGCCCTTTGGAGGGTGCAAAGTGGATTGCAGGTTCGGAGCTCTTTCCTTGATTTGATGTCGTGCTCAAGCGCCATGCGCCCATGTCGGCCATGTGTCTTGGCTTCATGAACGGCTGCTGATCTTGGGGCTTGTTTAAGCAGGCGGCGTCGTGGCATTGGCTACCGTTTCTTGTACTGCGTCGTGTAGCCTAGCGTTGAGTTTGCAGCGTAGCATAGGGGGTAGAATGCCTAGCGCAGAGTATCACACCACCACGGTGTAACATGGCACCGTACGGCCATTGCAAAAACTTTCGCAGGTCCACCTGTAAGCTATCCGCTCGCCTTCATCATGCCAATACCTCGAGCTTAGCCCCTTTGCATATTTGCGTAGACCCATATGCTGTGAATGCATCTATGCAAACATAAAGACTGAGTACTGGACGCGACATGCGCTAGCCGATCCGCAACCAGACCCCGCCTTTCCTCCCGCTCAGACATGCACGAGTCATGGCAGGTCCTCACTTTGCCCGCTCGGGACGCCATGGCGAGGGGTGTCCCGTCTGAGTCTTCGCTGACCTTGTCAACGTCAGCTCTGGCCTCGAGCAAGATGCGCACAAGTTCCATGGACTCCTTGTCTCCGCAGTATACGCATGCAACAGTCAGGGGTGTGCCACCAGTGTATGCATCGATGCGATCCTTATCAGCGCCTGCTTCCAGAAGGAAGCAGACCACTTCCTTGTAGCCCCTTGTATTGCTAAGGCTGCTAAGGAGAGGGGCGAGGGATATATAGATTGTCGGCGACAGCCGTACTGGCTGGCCCTCTGGTCGTCCTTGTCGAAGTCGGCCTCCAGTAGCACACGTACAGTCTCCAGCTGGCCTTCCTCACATGCCACGATGAGAGGCGAAAGTTTGAGAAAATAAAATGACTGACACTGTGTCCCTATCGACGCCTGCCTCCAGCAGGAAACGCACCACCTCTGTCCTGCCCCTGTTGCACGCCGAAAGGAGCGGCGTTCCGTAGAAAGAGTCTTGGTTTTTGTCGGCACCGGCCTCAAGCAGCATCTAAATCATGCCCACATGCCCTTCATGGCATGCCACGCTGAGCGCTCTGGCTCCCTGGGCATCGGCGAGATCTGGGTCTTGAGGTCGCTGCAGCACCTCCCCTACTTCCGCCAAGCTGCCGGCTCGCACTGCGGCTGTCAGTTGCTCCACTTGCGGCTCTGATGCGCTGCAGAACGGCAGCAAGACTAGCTGAAGGTCCATGGGCGAAGTGACCATCTTCCAGAATGTGGCCATCCGCAAGGAGCGTTTCCTGAATCGCGGAAATTGCAAAAGCTTTGCAGGTGCCTCTTCAGAGTCTTCACATCTCTCACATCCGAATGCTCTTCAACGGGCACGGCAGCCAGCACATCCTTTGAGGGCTGCCGGACGAGGAGCATTGTGGCAGAATGGGGGCAGAATGCTCTTACAGGCGCCTGAGTTGTAGACATGCAGCCCCAACGAAAATCCGGAACAGTGCAAGGATCCCGACCAATTCACGTACTTGGAAGGCCTCTGCTCGTGGCTAGACCCACCCTTTACAGTTAGCAGGAACCGTTGCTACTCTTCCTGCTGCTCTTAACTATATGCACTACCCAAGAATTTGGACCTGTGTCGATGCAAGCAGGAAGTTTCCTAGTCGAAGAGGCTTGGAAGCCGACTCAAAAGACTGGCAGAACGGACCAGCTTTTGAGCACGGCAAGAGGCTCTGGGCGGCAGCGTGGCGGCCGCAGCGGAAGCCTGACGCCAAGGAGGATGCGGGAGCGCAGGGCTGGGTCTGGCTTGAAACACCGATTCGCCAGAATGGAATGCCTAGCAACCCCGACTCCCAAAGAGATCCTGGCCCCCATAAGATCTCTCTCGACAGCGAGAACAAAAAAAAGCTCAACCAGCTTATTCCTCTTCATGCCTTAGGTGCTTGTAAGCCCTTGGAGTTTTGGTCTGTGGGGACCTTCCTGCGGGTTTCTCTTCAGAAGCTGCAGAGCCTGCGGCATGCAGGGGCTTAGTTTGAGGATGTGGGCGCCTCCGCGAGGCTCCGAAGCATCGAGAGGCCATGATCTCACAGCATTCGGACTGAAATTCAATATCAAGCAAGCATAGCCAGCATTGACATTCCAGAGTCCCAGCTTCTTCTCCGCTTCTCTTCACATAGAGAATACTTAAACCCCAAACTCTAATCCCTAAAGAGTCTTGCTTTGGGTGCTTGCTTCCAAAACTTTTTCGGCAATGTCAGGGTGGCCCAGCAGATCCGATCCCCATGCACTAGACCTTTTGACTCCGAAACCCTTGCAGGCCTTCACGTAGCCCGCAGGAACAGCTTGGCTCCATCCTGGACATGCTTCAGCAAGCTTCTGGGAAGGGGCGCTGAGGGTTGCGAGGGCCTGGGAGGCCTTGAGGTTTTCGGACAGTTAAGGTTTTTTCGCTTAGGGTTTATGCTTTCTGCTTTTCCCTCCTGCACAGCGGGGGCGAAATCGCAGGGCGTTTCGGGTTTAGGGTTTGTTCGAACAAAGCCGTCAATCTGCAAAAGCCGTCCCCCTCATGTAGCGAGGCACTTTGGGGGGCAGGTCCAAATCATGGTCCGTTTTTGAGTAGGACTGCGTAGTATGATAGGAACACCAAAGTGGACCATGACTCAGAGAATGGTACACATACAAAGTGACTCTTTGTGAAGTGAAGGCTGTAACGTTGGCGGACCCTGCCTGAAGGCCACACCTTGCGAGACTGGCCCGCTCGTCGAGTGGGTGCGGTAGGAGTGTCCCATCGCCTTGGCTTCCATGTCATTCGCGTTGCGATTCGTCCCACATTCAACAGCCAAATTTGAGGACTTAATGCAGGAACCCACAAGCAATGCCATAACCTACCCTAAGTACCCTTTTCTAACTCGTGGCACCTAGCTCCCTAGATGAGGGTTTCCGGAACATTAATGTCCCTACCCCTTCTAGACGTCCCCCTCCAGGCCCCAAGCTCCGTTGCACCACACAAAAGATCTGAATCCTTTCGTGGCTGTCCTCAGTGCTTTTGCGCTGTCAGTTTCATCTGACCCCCTACTTCTTCGAAGCTCACAAAGCGTAAAGGCCACCGCCCAGACCCAATCCCGAATCTCTGTGCAAAGCCAACAAGAGCTTGAAAAGCGGCACACCCTTTTCAACCCAGGCCCTGCTCCAAGTGAGCTGTGTAATTACTGCAGCCCCCCGTCTTTTCTACCCTTCCTAGGTTCCCTCATAGTTATTTGGGAATAATTAAGCCTAATTAAGGAAATTTAAGGGGGGAACCTAGGGGGGGGTAGTAGGGAAACCCATGAAAACCCTAAACCCTTGTCAACGGGGGACTCTCTCAAGTGCCTCCAAATTGTGTTGTGCCTTCGCTTTGCTAGAAACCCTAAACCCCAAATCCACTTTCGCTCAAACCTATTCAAGCCAAGGGCTGCTGAAGCCAGGGGCCCACTACCCCCCCTCCGTGTAATACCACTTAAGTTAAGATAGGGATCCTCGTGCAATATGTGGAAGATTCCTAAATATACAGTATCACTCTATCTTAAACCCATAGTCACTTGCAGCCTTTTTTCTGTCCATTTTAAAGTGACATGAAAATCATATTCCACTACACTTCTCGTGACTCTAGTCCCGTTTTAAAAAAATGATGTTCATGTATCTTTTTTTGAACCTGGAAGCTGCTTCAAAACCTTGGACCCTAAAATGCTTCCTTGTTGGGGGTATATTTAAAATGATCATTTTCGTTCCGTATTGGGAGTTCAATATGACGAACATGTGGGCGGTTGTCAAAATTATGGTCCCTTTTTGAACCCCTTTTATAATACGGCACCTCATATTTAGGGTACCCCACAAGGGAAAATAACTTTGACAACCGCCCATGTAAAGTTACAACCAACAAGGACCCAGTAAACCCTAAAACCAAACCAGGCGACCGCTCCCCGCGGCGTGGAGCCGACTCTGAGCCAGGCCGGGGAGGGAGGAGGTGGCGCCTGGTGAGATGGGGGTTTAGGGACAAGGGGGGCTACTACATCGGGTGGGTTTAGGGTACAAGCATAGGGGGAACATATGCAAAGGGATACTGTCGGTACTTGTTGAGGCTTCGGCCTCAGCCTTAAGATAGCTGAAAATGCACACCAGCACACGCGATGCGGTGCGAGGCCCTCAACCCCAAAAAAAACCCTCCGGAAACGCCTTCCTCGCTGCAGGCATCCGCAAAGCGGCACCACCTTGATTTCCAAGAAACCAGGAGGTGGCTGGGCTTTGCTGCTCCCTTCTACGAACTGCTGCTCACGAATCTCCGCTCCCGAGCTTTCCGGAAATCTCCACCCCAAATGGCACCGGGACTGTCCTCACATCCCGACATACGGTGAAGCGGTTTCTCCTAGTGAGGCGAAGGACAGGCAACTGGCTGCTGCAGTAGACCTCTAAGACTCTAAACTCTTTCCTGCTGTCCCAGTGTTCGTCAGTGCAAGGCTGAGAGGTCTCACCGCGCATGCGCTCGGGAAGCGCAGCGCAAGACTTTCTGGGCACCCCGAGCAGCGTAACAGGAAGCTCCGGAGTCTCAAACACACAGATGGCCAGGATGAAGCAAGAAAAGTAGTGTTGAAAGCGTGTCAAGCCGAAAACCACTCGGCTTCGAACCAATGACGGCAATCATTCAACACCCGCTCTTTGGAACCGGCTCCCAAATCTGCATCCTCGGCACACTTCCAGTTGCGCGTGTGCGCGCTTCTTCACCGCCAGGACCGTCTCGGAGGACCAGGCCTTTTGCTTCCAAGGGTGTTTCTACCCAGCTGGGCCAGGAGCTGGCGTACGCTTAATGGGAACGAATCCTGGGCTGCTGCTAGGGAACTTTGAGTATTTCCACAATAAGATGGATACATCGCAAACCATGGGGTTCCTTTGCAAAAGGAACTTGACATGGTTCTGTTGCCAAAGCGTATATATATATATATATATATATGGTACCCCCCCCCCCCCCATATGCCCACACTTTTTCCTCTCAGGTGCCATGGTAGGGTTTAGAGGCTTAGGATTTCGAAGCCTCCGAGGGCAGCGAGCACGAAAGCGCTCTACTGTACCAATGTTTTAGGCCCAGAAGAGCAAAAACGCTGTCCCAAAAAAACCAATCTTTTTAAGCAAAAACAAGCAAAAATGCCGTACTGTCCCAAAAAAACCAAAAAAACCAAAGTTTGGAGACCTCCAGGCCCTGGAGGAGCCCAAGGTCTCCAAACTTTGGTTTTTTTGGTTTTTTTGGGACAGTACAGCATTTTTGCACTTTTTGCCTTAAAAAGATTGGTTTTTTTGGGACAGTACAGCACTTTCGAGGCCTGGGACTGCAAAAACGCTGCAGTGTCCAAAAAAAACCAATCTTTGTAAGCCAAAACAAGCAAAAATGCCGTACTGTCCCAAAAAAACCAAAAAAACCAAAGTTTGGAGACCTCCAGGCCCTGAAGGAGCCCAAGGTCTCCAAACTTTGGTTTTTTTGGTTTTTTTGGGACAGTACAGCATTTTTGCACTTTTTGCCTTGAAAAGATTGGTTTTTTTGGGACAGTACAGCACTTTCGAGGCCTGGGACTGCAAAAACGCTGTACTGTCCCAAAAAAACCAATCTTTGTAAGCCAAAACAAGCAAAAATGCCGTACTGTCCCAAAAAAACCAAAAAAACCAAAGTTTGGAGACCTCCAGGCCCTGAAGGAGCCCAAGGTCTCCAAACTTTGGTTTTTTTGGGTTTTTTTGGGACAGTACAGCATTTTTGCACTTCTTGCCTTAAAAAGATTGGTTTTTTTGGGACAGTACAGCACTTTCGAGGCCTGGGACTGCAAAAACGCTGCACTGTCCCAAAAAAACCAATCTTGGTAAGCCAAAACAAGCAAAAATGCCGTACTGTCCCAAAAAAACCAAAAAAACCAAAGTTTGGAGACCTCCAGGCCCTGAATGAGCCCAAGGTCTCCAAACTTTGGTTTTTTTGGTTTTTTTGGGACAGTACAGCATTTTTGCACTTCTTGCCTTGAAAAGATTGGTTTTTTTGGGACAGTACAGCACTTTCGAGGCCTGAAACTGCAAAAACGCTGTACTGTCCCAAAAAAACCAATCTGTTAAGCCGATTCATATTATTTTATACAGGAGTCCGATTGGTTCCTATTTATTTAGCAAGGTTCCTTCTCATTTTAAAAGGCTTCCTATGAATTATAACCGGTTCTTTTCAATTTGGTAAGGGTTCCTATTCATTTTCATAGGCTTCCTATTAACTTTCACCGGTTCCGAAATAATATTGGCAGGATTCCTATGAGTCAATAGAGGATTCCTATTTATTTTTATAGGATTCCAATAAAGTTTCATAGGGTTCCTAATTCTTTTAATAAGGCTCCTACTCATGTAATCAAATTCCTATCAAGTTTAATCAGATGCTTATTCATGTTAATGGGATTCGTATTTATTTTAATAGGGATCTCATTCGTTTGAAAGGGATACCGATTGGTTTAGGCTCATATTAATTTTAGTAGGATTCCTACTATTTAGGGGTTCACACTTGTTTTTTATAGGAGTCCCATTGGTTCCTATTAATTTTAGTAGGGGCCCTCTTCAGTTTATTAGGATTGCTATCAAGTATAATTCGGTTCTACTTTTTCTAGGGTTCCTATGGATTGAAATAGAGGATTCCTGTTTGTCTGCGTATAAGATCCCAATACATTTCCATAGTTTGCCGAATTATTTTAATAAGGCTCCTACAAATGTAATATGATTCCTATCAATTTTAAATAGGATTCTGTCATTTGAAGAGGGTTCCCATAGAATTTAATAGAATTAAGGGTTCTCATTCCTATTAATGGGTTTCCTTTTCATTTTTATAAGATTCCTATTGAAACAAGATGAATCCTATGAACCCAATTTAATTTGATAGGAACGCTATTCACATGCATAGGATTTCTATTTAAACTCATAGCATGCAATCCACAATCTCGAGCAAATTGTTCAGGTCACTTCTGCTGGAGTTTTATGGGAGTTCCTCCCCGCTTTAAAAACCACCGCGGGTGGCGGAACGTAGTATTTTTGTCTGGAATATACATATGTGTATATATATATATATACACATAAATACATCGCATTTACATCGTAAATACCACGCTTTCCTCACTATGGTAACATACGAATAGCTACGATAACTACCAAGGCATCTTGAATCCCTGGCGAGCAGAATGACAAGCTTAACTTTACAGGTTCGAGAGCCGAGGTTCCTCGATGTTCACCTCACCCAATGCGTGCGCCACCAGCCTTGATGCCATGATGGCCATGAGGTGCTGCGGGCATTTTGGGGATTACGACAATAGGGGCACCCTGATATAGACCCACTAGTAGGATCCCCTTAAAATAAGGACCCGAGTAAGATAACCCCACAATTTCGGAGACCCCCACTTGTACAGGACTTCTCAGGAGGCCCCCCAGGTTGCTTTGACAAGGCGTCGCAGGCCTGGGCATGGCCCACCACATGCACTGGGGCATGTGGGGGATGGGAGTAGCGGCTGCCCAAGAGTAGCCTAAATTAGGCCCCTTCTGGCAGTCCAAGGCCATATTCATTGTGTGAGATCATGGGGCACTTCTGCCTTCATTCCCTACGACTTGCTGAGCTGCAGGGTGTGTGAGGCTTTCGTGCCTTTTGAGATGTAAAAGGCTGTTATACTACTAAGTCAAACCTGAAAGTTAGACAGTACGCTGCACATTCGGAAGCCCTTTGGCACTCAGACCCGCCATCCATTTCATGTGGGTTCCGTTCCCAACTTTGTGGACCTTCGGACTTCCAAGCCCCCCCCCCCCCCCCCCCCCCCCCCCTTTGCAAGCCAGGTCTAAACTCGCCGGGCTGCACATTGAGCCGCACGGTTGGCAGCCTGAGCTCAGGCGGCAGGGCTTTTCAAGCGAAGCTAAGGCTTTGCAGGCTTTATGGGGCTTTATGGGGCTTTCTGTACCCTTTTTGAGGATTCTATTCCATTTGGGGTATAAAATGGGTACCCCTATTTTGGGAAACGCCCGTATGGCTGGCTGGCTGCACTCCGCATCCAGGGTTTCTCACCTTGATTGTTCTTTCTTGGGGGGGACGGACTCTTTTCAGCCTCTCAGGGCGGTGTCTTGGTGGGGGGAGGCTGCGGACTCAGGTGCCCCGTTGCCCTAAGCCAACACCCTAAACCCTGCTATCATTGGTCACCTGAAGCTGCCACCTGGCATCTGGCTCCTTTTGAAAATCCCCCCCCCCTCTCCGAAGCGGACAGACAGTGACAGCCAAAAACAGAAGTTGCGGACGAGACCGAAAAAAAGTAGAAGCGGACGAGACCGCAGAAGCGGGCGAGACGAGGACAGCCGAAAACAATAGAATCGGACGAGACCGTGAGTGACAGCCCAAAACACTAGAAGCGGACGAGACCGTGACAGCCAAAAACAGTAGAAGCGGACCAGACCGTGACAGCCAAAAACAATAACAGCTGACGAAACCGTGACAGCCGAAAACAGTAGAAGCGGACGATACCGAGACATTTCATTATGGAAGAAACAAAAAAGGATTGACACAAGCAAGTCTTTTTGTTCTCAAGTTTGAGCACAGCTTTGCTTTTGTCTGGCATGTGGAGGTTTCCCAAAATTAGGGGTCCCGTTGTGGTGTCCGTTTCAAGGGTGTTTGGCCATAGAAGAAGGAGAAAAAGGACGCCCTAAGTTTGGACAAGTGTAGAGCACGCCGTTGCTTTTGACTGTCACAGGCCAAAGTTTTCCTGATGCGCGGTCCACTCTGCGTCTGCTCTTCGTTGCATTGTTGCTTCATACTGTTTCCAAGCCCAAACTTTCTGAATCCCCTAAACCCTAACTTGTCTACAATCTTACTGTTTGGGGTCTTCGCTGGCATAATCTTAGAGGCTCACCTGATTGGCCGATTCATGGGGGTTTCAGCCCAAGCCTGTTTTTCGAGGGGTCCTTATTGACGTTGCACAGGATATTCAGGATCCATTTCCGCCACAGCTCCGAAGCTGTACCAATGTGGGTGAGGCCTGCCCTCGAGAGGCTGGATGCCCTTGAGCTCATTGAAGTCAAGAAGCGTTTCGGTTGCCTCTTCTGGCGCGTCGGCACAGCCTATGTGGCTGCAAAGGTTTAGGGTTCAAGCTGGTGCGCTTCAGAGTTGTTGAAGGGCCTTTTGGGGCTTGCCATGGGCACTGGGCCACAAACTTTACCCGAAACCCTAAACAGGTTTCTGCGTGGCATCCTTTTCGAATCCCCGCGCGCCTAACCCCGAACTGCTGTGCCCTTGTTTGGTTGGGAGGCTCAGGCAGGTTTCGGTGCTGCACGACACATACCTACTCAGCACCTGAATCCTAAATCCCCAACCTTACACAGCGCCAAAGCTGACGTCTGCACAAATCCTTGCCTCACGTTGGTGTGTGTGTATGCATATATATATATATACATCTATGTCTCTGAGTGCTTATGTTTATGTTTACATAGATATGTACACACATGTTTCTTGGACCATGAAAGCTCGGCGGCCTCCCTGTGGCTGGGGTGTCTGGGCGGCCGCCTGCGATGCAGGAGGCTGCGGCACCTGAGTGCTGCTTTCGTCGCAGGGCTGCGAGGGTTGGGCCTGGCCCATGCTTCTCAGGTGTTGGGTCTTTTGAAATGTAGCGTGCGCCGCCAACATTATGAGAGCGCGTGCGCACTAAGGCCCGAAGATCTGAGGTGTACCCTGTGCAAAAAGCTTCCAAGGGGCTACCATGAGCTGCAGCTCCTCTCCGTCAACCAGGCCGCCTTGCTGGCGCAGAAATCGGTCAATATCGTGCGGGCTTGGCTACGCTTTCTTGGTCAAGGGGCTTTCGCTCTGGCAACACCTAACATTAGGGTCCCTTTTTGGATCCTCTTATAATACGGCACCTAAAATTTAGGGTACCCAAAAGGGATCATAATTTGGACAACCACCCACCTGAACCACCATTGTCTGCAGGCCAGCTGCAGTGGCGGAGTCTCTTGCGGTCATCGAGAAGCTTGATGTCGCCTCCGTCCCGTCGCCCGAGCCTCCGGAATTTGGAGATCTCAGGCCGGTGAGAATGGCGGAAGGAGGGGATTCTTGTATTTACATACTGCTATGTTATTAACACGTCACATTCTCTATTGTTGTAGTATTACCTTGCTAAATAACGATATCTGTGCAATGGCCATGCATCCTGTGACTGGCCTAGAAGACCCGACTCCGCACGATGCCCCAAAGTTCCGTTGCGAGCCTGCAGGAGCCCAGCGGCGGAAGCTCGGAGGATGCCTGCTTGAGATGCGGCTGCGTGTTGACTCAACTGCAAGAAAGAGCACCAAGGGATAAAACAAACAAAGAAGAAAAGATGCAACAAAAAAACGCCACGAAAGCCCTTGAACAAGGATGCCGGGTCGGTCTCTGAAATGGGTTGTGGCAACCGCCAGAAGGGGGGGGGCAAAAGCAGGACACCAACGCCCAGGCCTCGAGCCAGGCCTCACCAAGTTTTCGAGCAACCCCTGTTCCAGATCCTCTACAGGAATATAAGGGCCATATTCAGAGTACATTAAGGGAACCTGGGTACATCCCTAAGAGTCCGAGTCTTAATCCCTTGCTTCTTCAACAACTCAGGAGGAAACATGATACCGCGAAGGTGCCCTAGCTCGAGCCCCTCAGCCCTAAAGCCCAAGATCGAGAATGTTATTATGGCCTCAACCAAACTCTCCCAGACTCAGGCCACCGCTCCTCACCCTAATCTAGTATATGACTGGCTATCACTAAGCACCTTCACCCAGACACTTGGCAGAACCATCGCGCTTCCGTACCTAGCCCTATCTTCGGACTGAACTTCCACCGGGTACTTGCGGAAATCATCAAAGCAAACGCCAGAGCATATGCAGCAACAAGATCACCGGTGGCAAGGCGGCCTTAGCCAAAAAAGAGGGCCCAACATCATTTTGGCATGTGGGGGTTTGCGAGAACAGAGGACCCCAATATAGATCCCCAAACAGTAGGATTCCCCGAAAACAAGGACCCACCGAAAAGGTACCCCAAATTTCGGAACTGGGAAACCCTTAAACCCTTAAACCCTTTAAACCCTTAACCCTAAACCCTTTAAACCCTAAACCCCAAGGCATGGGCCTCCGCATCGAAGTCGGTGAAGCGATTCCACACGGAGAGCTGGTGGTAAGCCTCCGCTCTCCAAGGGCTCCGAAGGAAGCGATAGGGTTCAGGGTTCAGGAAGTTTAGGGCTTAACCCCCCCTTACTCTCAAGAGCTCTTTGCCCCCATGTGCAGGACATCTCCCTGCCAGAAGGTGTGGCCTACGCTCCACCCCTCCCCAAACCCCTCGAAGTCTGCAGAGTTCACACATACACGGAAGCGGCGGGCGGTGAGGGCGGAGGGGGCGGGTGGGGGCGGGGGGCGGACAATGTTGTGGCCTGTGTTCCTCACAGCACGACAGCACATGATCTCATAGGCAAACCTACTAGTTGGTTAAGAACCCCGAAAACAATCATCCTTATTAAGGGTAATATAGGGAGTAGTGTTTTTATTCTTTTGGGGGTCTGAAGCAACTAGTAGACACCCCCTTCAAAACGCTCGACCCCCCGAAAGCCTCAAATGCTCTGACAAAAGATGGCACCACCGAACCTTGGACTTCAGCTCCCTCACGGTGTCTCGCCTCGGAGCCCCCCCCCCCCCCCCAAATTTGAATGGAGTCTCGGGTAGGGTTTACGGTGAGGGTGTGCAGAGTACACATATGCGTTCTCACTTGTCTAGTGAGTGTCTTGAACCACATCTCATTCTCCAGACAACCATACAGGGTGCGATCTAATGCATGGATCTTGTGGGTATGTACCCGAAATAAAAGGCCCGAAAAACGGCTACTTTGGACCCCAGAACTTGAATGAACCTAAGTATGAACTTGAAGCACGGCTCAGAAGAGAGTGGCGCCTCACATCGCTATCTCGGGGGGGCGGTGTGGCTACCAAGCCCTGACAAGCTTTCACACATGGGACTAGCTGCAGCTGTGTGCGAGCTCAGCGCCGCGCGCCCTCACTTCCACCGTCACCATCGCACCCTCCTTGTTTTGCCTAGGTGGCTCGACTTACTTCGGCCTAGAAAGATAGCCTTGAAGATTCTGACGCTTCGAGGTCCGGCCAGCCTTGATATGGAGTGCCGCTGACGCTTGACACTTTGTGGTTCGGGGAACAGGCCCACTGAGAAGAGGCCTAGCTAACTTCTGTTTGTCAGATGTGTTTCTATGCGAAAATGTGGCTCCTACAAGTCAGTCATGCGATCGAATTGCAGCATGCACAGCCATAGGCCTTAAGATTTGGTGAACCCTGTGTACTTTCGGGGCATGAAACTTGAAACTTTAAGCTTTGCTTCTTATCGTGTGCTCTTGGGATGGAACTCCGTGCTTGGCACTGGAACGGCTCTCACTCGCAGGAGAACTTTTCCGCGGTCGCTGATGGTATCGGTGCTCGAAGTCCACACGTTGCATGCAATGCGCGAGCCTGTCCCGGTCAAGGTGAGACCTACTTCCACAAGGTACCCGTTGTGGATGGAACGTGCCCTCTAGTGCTTCCTATCCTTGCTACAGCCGCTATGATCTTTGGGACCAGATTGTGCTGCTCATAACATCTAGGGCATTGCCGTGCCGTGCTATGCATTCGCCTTTCCTGTGCTGAAAAAACTTTGCCAGACACTGCGCCAGCCACCAATCCCTTGTTTGAAGCCTGCGTTCAACACACATGATCCCTTAAAGCCCCTACTACAGCCTCTCAGAGATGATGTTCCAGGCAAGCCTGTGGCAGAAGCCGGAAGTCCGGAAAATGATCACAGGCCGGATTCCTGCGGCCAAGACAAGTTGGAGGTTTGTTTCGGTGTTTATGCAGGTGCCATTTGGGCCACAAAAGCACCCACCTCGAACCTCAGCCTCCACACCCCTAAACCTGTTGGGAGGGACGTGCCTCAACGTGCCCCGAAGATTCCCGACTTCTTGCCTACAGACCCTCTAGATGCCCCTACCCGAAGAGCCCTTCCCCTGTTGGATTGATGGACTTGGGGGTCAGTTTCCTTTTTGGGCGGTGTTGTTATTGGTGCTCCTGAGAGTTTGTTGCGCGCTGCCCGGTCAGCCCTTCAATCTGTTTGAGGGTCGCCGAGTCAGCTCCTTAGCAGCCTTGGCTCGGCCCATCTAATACAGGGTCCTTAGCAATTCGAAAAGGGTTTTGGGGGGTATAAGTATGTAGGGATCATACGGGAATACTCTTCGTAATTCTTTCGAACCCCTATATTAGTTTCACAGAGGCCTCTTGTACTTGTGTGTCGCACCGCCGCCCGCGCGACGTGCGCACTGCAGGGCCAGGTTGAGCCCTAAGAAGAGCTCCATACATACTTTAAGGCGCTGCAATGATCAGAGAAGACCCTGGCTTCATGCAAGAACTCCCCTGCTCCGGTTTTGAGAAGGGATGCTGACCTCTCAAAGCCCTCAGACTGCGCCGTCCTCGGACAGCCCCACTCGTTGCGACCCAGGTCGAAGGGTAAGGGCTCCTCTCTCCGATGTTTAGGGAACTTTGGGCTGTAGCGACAGTTGCTTCTCAAACACAAAAAAGGGTCATCGCAGCGTTCGGGCTCTTTTTGCGCATACAGGGCACGCGAACCCCCCCGACATCTTCGAAATTCTCGAAGTTTGATGCATCGAAGACTTGTGAGCCCCCATGCCCTAATGGTCCCCCAACTCGGAAACCCAGAGCCTTGCATCCACCACAAGCCTTTTCCAAATTGCACAGGTCCTCGCCAGGCTTCGAGGCAGTGTATTCCTGGCTCAGACGAGTCTCGCAAGGTTTCTGAGGCCATGGGGCTTGGCGGCTTAGGGCTTAGGGCTCCAGCTTTTCAATGGCAAGGCGCTCTTGTTTTTGGGCTGGCTTTTTGGTTATGGGCTGCCGGGAGTCCACCCATGCCATTTGCTCGGAGAAGTTCCCCGGCTGGGTGTGGTCCACGCGCAGCCTGGGACAAGGCGGAGGCCGGCGCAGCCTTGGGGGGTTTATAAAACCCTGGGCTTAAGGCTTTGATGCATTTCCGGTTGGCGCCGGAGGGCTGCAGTTGAATCCTGCCCAACTACCCTGAGCCCTACGTCCTCAAAGAGATGCCCCTTTTGCCTTGCTTCCCAGAAGAAGGCGAAGTTTTATCTGTGGCGCCTGCAGAGACTCCCAATGCCTGTTAACCTTGATTAATTTGATAGTAGGATCCCCCTGATCCCAATCTTCCTTTATGGGGCATTGGATAAAGAAAGCGCTCGGCTTCTCGTTGGTCTGTAGGGAATGAAAGAATGGAGACAAAAACCGAGCTACTACAATGTACAGAGCTTCTTGACTCTGGGAGTTCCTGGTGATGCCGATGAGGGTGGCTTTGCAATTTCAAGGACGAACGCCCGGACCAGGAGCTTCCACACATCCCCGCTCCATTGCAAGGCCCTTCAACCTCAAGGCCCTCAAGAGACCCCCCCCCCCCCCCCCCCCCCCAACCCCAAACTCCACAACTCCCAAGCCCCGCGTCCCCGGTGCTCTGAGAAACACGACCCCCTCACAGAGCTGCCTGAACTCCTGAGTGCCCTACATGCAAACCAAGTAGCCGGACATGGCAGTCCCCAAGATCACAGGTGTAGTTCAGGTCCACAAAGCCTTCCTGGGCTCGTGCAGGCCCCCCCCCCCCCCGTCCCAATGATCCCCCACAGAAGCACCCAACTAAAGTAGCTAACATACACCCTGAACCGCCTGTCCATGCACAATCATCCCTGCTGAGTTTGATGGGAGGCATTTTTGCTCTGCTAAAGCCAAGCTTCCCTGTAGGTGTACTGGGCGGTGAAGATCTTCTTTTCCAAGTGGTGCTTCGCCTCCTCCAGACTCGGGGCGTTCTTGGGGCTCTTGGGATTCCAGCAGTTCCCTGAAAGCTTCAGGCCCTACAGCCCAGCACCTTCTGCCACCCTAAATCCTAAACCCTTTTTTGCAGCAGGACTCCTCACCACTGCCTGCTTCGCCCTTATTCCCCCGCAGCCCAGGACAACCAACGACCCAGCACTGTTGACTGAGGCCCGAGCATCCTGGGGCAGCTTTAGGAAAGAACTGTTGAAAATGGATTTCCCTAAACCCTCAACCCTAAACCCTAAACCCTAAACCCCAAACCCTAAACCACAAAAAGCCGCAGGGGCCTTGGTGTGCTTGGCCACCGTCAGACCCTCGCCGTGGCCCTGGGCTGACAAGGGCTGACAAGGGGCGCCCCTGACCCCGACTAGCGGCTCTTGGATTGGAGGAGACGCTGCGGTTTAGGGTTTAGGGTTTAGGGTTGCTGGGCTGTGACAGGTTGGCATGCGGGCAACTCGGTGCACTGGCGTGCTCGCGTCTCTTCACCTTGAGTTTTCTGCTTTTGGTGTCCTGTGCATCTCACTCGAAGTGCAGCTCAAGACTTTATCATCACAGCTCAATGAAGTGTTCACTGTTCTGGTTGCCTTGGTGTTGACAATCCGATCGGCACGATCATGCTGACACGTGCAGGCAGGGATCATAACCGCCCTTTCCGAAGCCGTCGCCAGCCACCGGGGCAGGCGTTGCTAGAAGGCTCTGCAGAGCCACCTGCCCCCAAATGTCGAAAAGAACGTCGGGTTCGGGCGTGTAGGGTGCTTTGCTCTTGCCTCCAGGAGCCCGAAGGCTGGAGGCTTTGTTTGGGCTGTTACTTCTACTCGCGCAGCCATCCCCCTCTGTTTGCCCTGAAAGGGCTCTCACATTCTTGTTTGGGTAGTCCGCTCCACAATGCATGCTTCTGGAAGGCCCTAAGCAGAAAGTTGGAGGGATCCTTTGAAGACTAGAAACACACACATCTGTCCCTCAAACCTCACCCCTAAACCCTAAACTCCGCAGGGCCAGCCTCCAGGGGCGCTGGGTCCTGGACCAAAGGGAGTCGTGGGGATTGTTGGGCGCAATAAGCGATTCAAGAGAGCCCCAAAGCCACCCCAAGCAAAACGAAGGGAGATGTGTATCCCTGAAGTTTGGCGCGCCGCCGACGTGTTCTACCTACTTACTGAAGAACGCCTTAAGAACCAAAAGGGATAAGGCCAGAACCCTGCGAGATGCCACCGGGGGGCCAGGTTCGTTCTTCCAAGCAGTGCAAAAAACCTATTTACCGAGCGGTAGGGCTCAATCTCAGGTGTCATCCTCATGAGGTCACGGCAGATTGGGGGTTCCATGGATCCCTCTGATTCCGAATTCTGACCATCAAGCCCCCCCCACGTTCCTCGCCCGAACCGGCCAAAGTTGCGAAAGCCCCAGGGCCAAGAGGTTTTGAAGGCCGAAGCCAAGCACAACACAGTGGGCCCTGTTTTGAATGGGATGCCACTGAGCCTTCCTAACATCCTTGGCCTTATGATGGCTCTAGCTGTCCTGGAGCACAAGGGCCCGCAGGGTGCCGTAGTCCTGATTGCATCTGCAGCAACGGATGGGGAACCACAGAAGGAAGTGGCATGCCGCATGCTGACGATGTTGCCCAGTAGCTGCAAATGCATCTAGGCCTCTAATTGCCGTGCGGTAGCTCTTTCCTGTTCTCGTGTGTGTGTGTGTGTGTGTGTGTGTGTGTGTGTGTGTGATGGACAAGCAAAATGCACTGCACGGCGTCACCAAAGCCATAGGATACTGCATCCGAAGACAGCGGACCCACGAGTGGACGCATCATTTCTCAACATTGTCCGCGGCCAGGCGGCATCTGGAGGGAAGAACCGGAGGTAGCGCCTGCATTCAGGGATCTCCCCGCTATCTAGAACAGCTTCAGTGAAAAAAAGAGTGATGTATAAGGGGGTTGAGGGTCTAGGGTTGAGGGTGTACAGAATAGGCCATGGTTGCTTCTCAAGATGCTGGTGCAAGAGAAGGGGTCTGAGCCACCGCCCGAATGGTTTAAATCCGAGGGAGCCGTGCTGTGGCTGCCTTGTAATCAATACTGTTTGTATTGTGCTTGCTAGTCATATTCACTCTTGTTCGTGTCCTAGTTCTAACAGTGCAACTTAGCCCAACACGGCACAAGGCCCCATCGAATCCTGGCCTGTACGTGATCCAGACGGAGCTTCCCTTCCTGGTGGGGAGCTGGTGGCTGGCAGACGTTGAGCCAGTTCCGACTCACAAAACCCAGGCTTTCCAATCAAAAGGGTTCACTGTTTAGGTTTAGGGTTTGTGGAAAGGTTTCAGGGTTAAGGGCAACTGCTGGAGAATCATGCGTCGGCCCCCCAACGTGTCCAGTAGCGAAACACTTCTGAACACCCGCGCCGCAACCTTGTGCCCACAAGGAGTATGGACGTTTGGGGGTCGCCAGCACCCAACATGTTTCCTAAACTCGCAGGCCCTCAGTCCCAAGCCCGTACAGTGCATCAATCCCAAACAAGCCGGCTTCTAAATGTAAGATCCTACAAACCAGCGGGGAGTGGGTGGGAGGGGAGTTTTTCTTGCTTTGCTGCGGATGTGGGAGAAGTGCAATGTTCATGGTTGCACATGGCTGTGGGAGTGTGGAAGAACTCCTTGAGACAAAAATCTCACTCCTCCCCACCCCCTTACTTTCAGTCCCAAGCTTCTGTGTCATGGATGCGCCGGGCCGAACCTGCCAAGGAGCAAGAGGCCATGATCCGGGGATGTGAGGTTTCGTAGCCTCAAAGTGGTAGCAACGAAGCGAAGCTTCGCCCAGCCCGCCCGTCGTCCCAAAGCCTAATATGGGGGCCTTAACGATTAGGAAAGGGTTGTGGGGGAGATTAGAGTATATTTATAAAGACGCGTCTCATCTTGACAGGGGGCAAGGCCATGCACCAACCTACATCAAGTGAGACCCAAAGCTTTCTCTTCTGCATTCACTCCCCTTTTGTCATCTCTCTCCCTCTCTCTCTCTCTCTGTCTCTCCCTCCCCTGGCACAGGCCTTATGAAGATATTGGCAGCAGCCGACGTAGATCCCATCCCAGCGAGGTCGGAAAAGGCCCAGGTATTGCTCCCTGGATCCAGAAGGCGTTGTATTTCGGCTTCAGACTTCGCTTCTCTGTCAGCTTAAGACGCGTTGCCGCACGAAGGAACTTCACCTAGTCTACCATAGCGTGGATGTATCTGTATATCACTTCCTCAGCAGCGAGTTTAGGCAGTTCAGGTGGAGTCATTCAGGGAGCGACAACTCTGTACCCTAAGCCCGTGATCAGCCCGAAACCCCTTTGAGGAATCTAATAAAACTCTTGGCTGCAAAAGTGGCCCGGCTAAAGCGTTAACTCTGAGCTACCTACCTGATGAAGTAACCCCTTAACCAGTAAGAATCCCACAGAGCGCCAACGCCATTAAGCTGTGAATGCCGGGTGCCGTTTGTGGCTCAGCCGGCTTCCTTATAATCCTGGCTTCTGCAACAAGCTGCAGGAATGCCAAAGCACTGCACTCCCCAACAAAACGAACCTTAGACTCTAAACCCTAAACCCTTGCATCTCGTTCTTTTCAACAAGACAGCACAAGTGGTACGCAGCTGGCCTCCACTGCTCCTCCTTATAAGGCAGAGCCCAGAAGGAGCACAGCTGCCTTGGGAAAGCAACACTGCCGAGAATGTCTGCTTCTTTGCAGGTGGGGGACTTAGGAGGCAAGGCTGGGGGCTGCGGGTTTCGAGTAGAACTTGCTTTGGTCTTTGCCTTGTCTCTGTCTTCCCTTCTCTCCCTCACCATCTTGCTCCTGCCCACTCGTCCAGGGACTCGGCTTCAGCTGAGCTTATCTGACTTATGTAAGATTATCTCTTTCTCTCTGCTTTGTCTTTGGCCTTTCTTCTGAGTCGCTGCAGTCGCGGCTTCCAAACATCCACCACTGAAGTCAACGGCTGAAGCTCCCTGCAGGACCAGGAGACCTCCAAAATCATATCGGCAATGTGCGAAAGGATATATGCATATGCATATACCTATACATCATATACATCATATACATCAAATAAATCATATAAATCAAATAAATCATATACATCATATACACCATATACATAAGATACATAAGATGCATAAGATGCATAATCTACATAATATACATAATATACATATACATATACATATATATACATACATATATACATATCTATCTATATATATATATATATATAGATATGTATATACACATATGTGTGTGTGGCTCTTCAGGCTAAGTTTTAAAGCTCCTGCTGGTTCATGCTCTCTACTTCTTAGGAAGACGGCACGAACAACCCCGACAGTGTATTTGGGGGCCGCCCTCAGCCATGCCATGTCCGCATGCGCCATCACGCAACCTGGCCAACCTTGAGTGCACAACTCACGTTTAAGAGCGACGTTCAAAGTGCCAGCCACGAATGTGCTCAGCCGCCGCACCCGCGTCACGCTGTACGTGTCGCAGAAGAACAAGCCATCCTGGGAGGTCTTCGAATGCCAATAAGTCTAGAGAGACCTGGTTCGCTCAGCCCAGCGGCGCCCTGATGGTATCGGTTTAGGGCACCAAATGTCATCCAGGCGTTGCAGTCGTCAACCCTGAACCCCTTTTTTGTGGCAGCAGGCCACTCTTGTGCATCAGGCCTGCAGAACCCTAAGCCCCCAGCCAGTGCTGAGGAGTGCACATGCCTGCCAAGAACCCTAAGCCCTAAGCCCGAGAACCATACGACCCCAATTCTTGCTGGGGGGGCCTAAACCCGAAACCCAAAACCCCTGGGGGCGGGCCTTCGCCCAGGCCATGAGGGGGTTGTCGGCATTCGGGTGCTCGCAGCCCTCTGCCATGGCGTCCACGGGAGAGCGCTCTCGGGGGGGCTAAGTTTGCTTTCCCTCTCAACTTCCAGAACATGACAAGTTTGGAGTCTATATGTATATATGTGTATGTATATATATATATATATACATATTTATAAAACCCTGTTATGAAGTGAAAGGTGTTGCTTAGGGGCTCTGAATGGAAGGGAAGGATGGATTTTGTTGCTATTTGGGTACGACTGGCCTACTGGGGCGTCCATGCTTATGACTTTCGCCCGGGATGTTTCTGCAGGTTCTTTGCGGTTGGAGTTTTAATGAAACACATGCCGCGGCTCTTGGGGGTCTTTGAGGCCCGAGATCTCGGAATCTCGGGAAAAGTCACGCTTGCAGCGTATCTCGGGCCACAAAGCTACGGGTCTCAGCAGCTGCAACGGACGCCTTGAACCCGACATATCCCAACTCCCCAAATCGTGGCAAAACCCTTACAGCTTTTGCATCCAGGCCTCACGCTGAAGATGCGAAACTCGCGTTCAGCCCCTAAAGAATAGACCCAAATCCTTATGGTTTTCACGATCACTAAGAATTTTACCCTGGTGACATTTGTAACGGTGCTATAACTATAACTGTAACTATAACTATAACTATAACGATAACTATAACTATACGTAACTATAAGCAAGAGTTGCAGCCCGGCCGCTGCGAGACGACCAAGTTCAGTGCCGGGTTGTACGGCTCTCCGTCCGCCTTTTTTTCACTTCGGGGTGTAGGGGGGGGACAATGGCTTTAGGGCTATTTAGCTATTGAGGGCTGTTTAGGGGCTTTGGGGGCTTCAGGTCCCAGGGGTGATCTTTTTACTTGGGTTTCCCTTCGAAAAGCCTTTTGGGGAACATTTCCGAAATTACGGGCATCTTTGTTTGTTTTACGGGCCCCCTGTTCTCGTAAACCCCATATGTGGCTACTGTAAAGGCAGTTGGGGTGTGGGCATCACTGATTCGAAGATTCATGTCTCGGCATCCGACCTTGCCGTAGTCTCAGAGTGGTGCCCCATATCAAAGAGCCCTGCACAGAAGACTACACTGGAAATGGCCTCTTCCAACTCGTCCACTTCCTCCTTCGGGGAAGATGCGCCTGAGGCAGCGACCTGCACGACTGCAGGCAAGAAAGGGGGCGTGGACAAGTGCACCAGACCGGAAACAGCAGCGCCTAACACTACGAGAAAGGACATGCAAGTCGAACATCCGTCTCTTGTTCAAAGTCACGAGAGCCGTGCCCTCCAAATCGAGCCTGGCTGCCCGGAGAGCTTCGCAGCTGGTGCATGTCCTTTAAGAGGTCAGAAGTAGGGAGGGCAAACGACTGAGCAAGCCCATCTCTCTGACACTCGTATCTCGGGAGCGTGTCCTGCTCGAGGAGACGCATGCGACTGTCCAGCTGCCCCAGGACCTGGCAAATCATGTGAAGGGCGCATTTCTCTTCCGGGACGGGTGCTCGGACTATGTTCGCAGTCTCAGGACTGCTGGCTTCCGTAGAGTGGTGGGACCTATCAGGGGGCTGGTTCTGGAAGCTCAGCCGCGCGAGTATTCCAATTCAGGCACCAAGGCCAAAGCCTGAGACCGACAATTTCCTGAGATCTGAGGCCCGTGCACACTCCGTCAGCCGGGCCAACTGAAGCTGCAGAACCTGTGGCTTTGTGTTCTACTTCTTGCGTCAAAGGGGAAGCAGAGGGGCAAAAAGCTATCCCGTTAAAAGGTTCCTCAGATGCCTCCTCAACCCTCAGGTGTCCTCTGTCAGTAAGGGGAAGACCGTCGAAGTGCAGACCCCAATGCAGAGGCTCTTTTCCACCGCAGGGCGGCCGCATGCGCACGTGCGGTATGCCGAGGAAGGGGCCGAGGCAGTGCCTTCATCTTGTTCAAAGGGGAAGAGCGAGGATCATCTGGCGCTTTCTAGGCTTAGGGACTCAGGATTTGCCAATCGCTGCGTGAAACCTGCCACATTTGCAAGACCTCGTCTCCCCCAATGCCTCGACTCCCCGGGCGCTTGCTCCATCTCCACTCCGTCTCCAGCGTAGCTCGGGCACCTGGTATGCCGGAAGTTTCAACCCCGACTCTGGGTTTTCTTGGCTCAAGCTAGGGGTAAACCTCAACAAAAAAGGAAAGTTGCCAGGAGAAGCAACAAAGCCTGTGTCGGGGCACACCAAAGCCCCCAAAACCTCAGGCCTTTACAGCACACCCCCTTTGAACCCCCCAACATGATGCACCTGATCTTCTTGGGGCCCAGATTTCTGCTTCCGGCTGGCTGTTGGTGGCACTGCAAAGCCTGGGATGAAGGGTTTAGGGTTTAGGGTTAGGGATTGAGTGTTAGGGGGTGTTAGGATTCAGGGTTTCGGGTATCGCGCGGCAGCCTCAGAGATGCCATAAGCCCCTTCAACCTCTTTGAAGGGCTGGATGCTTGTCTCCTCCACTCAACCCTCAATCCGAACCCCCCCCCCTCCCCACACCCACATAACAGAGAATCTCGCCTGAAATGCCCTACTATATTGGGAAATGATGCATGTTTCAAGGGCCCAACAGCTGGAGCAGAGATTGTGACCATGTCGTCATCTATAATGTCAAAGTTGGCCGATGAAGCCTGTTCAATCATGAGCTACAGAAGCTGAGACGCGACGGTGCCGATGTTCTTCAAGGTCAGCAGCTCACCAAGGAACAAGTACCTGACAACTCGCGGATCGCGCAGCCAGTTGCGCAGCTCGATCCAGGAGCACCATACCTTTGTCCAATAGAAGAATTGTGTGAACATGCCTGGGCCATCAACCCCCTCTGGTTGTAAAGATGCGGTGGACCACTCGAATCTCAATACGTAGGATCTGCAAATGTCTCCCTCCTTTCTTGGAGCTGCGCCTTGTAGCAGTCGACTCCGTGGCTTCTTGGAGCGGGCGTTGGATCCTGCAGCGGCCGCAAGGCTACACGCGGTCAGTGCGAAAGAGCTCGAAGATTTTGGCTTTTGAGCTCTTTCGCTTGTATTGTTTTTGGCTGCCACGGTCTCGTCCACTTCTACTGTTTTTCTGTCACGGTCTCGTCCGCTTCTACTCTGTTTGGCCGTCACGGTCTCGTCCGCTTCTACTTCCTTTGGCTGTCACCATCTCGTCCGCTTCTACTGTTTTTGGCTGTCACGGTCTCTTCCGCTTCTACTGTTTTTGGCTGTCACGTTCGCGTCCGTTGCTACTGTTTTCGGCTGTCACGGTCTCGTCCGCTTTTACTTCTGTAGCCCAGTCATCATATTACAATAAGGGTACCCTTCTTTGGGGTTGGTTTTCTTTATAAGGGAACCTTGAACCATTGCTAATGTTGGGATGGTTTCAGGACTCCAGTTTGGGTGAGTTTGCGCCTGATTTCGTTTTGGATGAGAATCGCCTACCAAAGGAACTTGGACGCCCGGAGTATGCTCTAGTTACTCTAGTTTGTCTCCTGGCAGTTTCGGCCAGTCTACGTGATTGGAGATGCGTTGCGGGGCAAGCCCAGCAGCTGGCTGTGCTAGATCCCTTCGGAGATGTACGATGAATGTAACCATCACGCCCGCTTCTTCTGCCCCCAAGTGCTGCGCACGGGGATGCTGTCAAACGCTCTGCGAATCGAAAATTCAAAAGGTCTCTCTGTCTCTGTCGCTCTCTCGCTCGGTCACTCTCTCACGTTCGCTCGAAGGTAGTGTTCGCAGGTTAAGGGGCTTGCGCAAGCCACCCATGTAGCATGTCATAGTGAAGCACGCCTCTTCACTTACGATCATTAGCCTCGAGCGTCGTAGCCACAACGAGTTCCAACGCTACAGCTGCAGCGGTCCTTCATGCTGTTCCTCCAGCAGTCGGCAGCATGTCAAGCGACATCTTGATGCTGTGAGAAGAGTGGGCTTTTTGGTGGCACGTCCCCTCTTGGGCCCTTCTGGGCGGGGTGGGCAGCGGTGCTCACGATGTCTGGCTATGTGGCTACGCCATGAGGCATGAGCCACGCATGTTTGGTGCGGCAGGTATGTTGGAAGGACTGCTGCAGCTTCTGCGCCATCAGCGCCTCCTCGGATGCATGAGCTTTCGATCTTCGGACCCCAGAGAAACCTGCAGGAAGTCAGGGGCTCTCCGAGGAGTTTGTATGCTTTATTCCCATGACCCCTTGTGCTCTTAAGAGGAAGAGTTCGCAGAAACACCGAGCCCCCCATCGCCAAGTGGCGATGGAAGAAGCTTCACAAGGTCTATGGCTCAGTGGCTCAGGGAAAGCTCAGGCTAGCTGAAAGTGAAGTGGTCAGGGTCCGTCACAGGTACAGACAAGGAGCGGTATTTTGTTGAGGCCCCCACACAAGGTAATACTGGCTGAAAAAGGGAAAGGGGCAATTCTTTTAATATGGAGCTGGGTCTGAAAGGAACTACTGCTTCAAGGGGGAGCCTAACGCCGAACCCTGAGGACCGTTCTGAAGGCACTGGTTTTGCTGAGCTGCCGCTGACGCGAGCACCCGGCGTCCTTCAGTGCATGTCTTTAGTTTTTTTGTCTTTAGAGTTTCGGACTTCTACTGCTTGGGACCCGTCCCTGCTCCAAACCGAAATCCCTCTTTTGCTTCCGTGCTCCCACTCAATATAGATCTTAGAAACCCTAAGGAACAACCCCCACAGAACGGCCCTTCGGCCGCAGCACCGGAGCGGAAGCGGCCCCCATCCTCGCACAGCTGCGCCACCTCTGTGCAACAGACTGCAGGTTTAGTGACGGTTTAGGGTGGATAAGGTCTAAGGTTGAGGGTTTCGGGTTTAGTGTACAGCTGCTTGCCACTCAGGTCGCACTGCAGGGTGCGACAGCACATGGGGGGGGCAAAGCCGATGACAATCAACTATGAAGACAAAGAACCCAACAAACAAAGTCTACCCATATCTGACCACCGCAAAAACCTTGTCATCGCCACGACTTTGAACACTGCCACCGTGCACGCGGTCTACAGATACCATGTCGATACGAGCAAAGCGCGCACAGAACCTTTCAGCCCCCCGCAACACAAATTCCACTAGCTGTGTGAAGGCTTAGGGTTGCGGAGCGCAGAGGGTTCAGAGCATCTCATTCACGATATTTTGCCTGTACCTTTCCGATGCCCTACAACATTTCTTACCCTCCAACTAGCAAGCACGATGAGATGGGGACCTGGATCTCCACAAGGATCTCGAAGCTCTACCCCTCAACCCATTGAACCTAGCAGACATCAATGTCACTCCAACAGCTCACTGAGACCCCCGACACTGCTGTAGGTCGTCATGTCTGGTCGAATGCGCCGAGACAGCATCAGTCCTTAATCCACTGTCTAAGATGCGTAGGAACTGAAGGAATGGCGTTAGGATTACTATAAGTCAGCGCATGGAGCCTCGGAGTTTAAGGTTTGTGCTTCCATGGCCATGACAGACACTGTGCAAAGGGTTTTCGTAGAGCCGGGAGGTAGGGTGGTCAGTTCTTTCCAACTTTCTGGGACCGACGCGGAGGTTGATCAAGACGATGGGAACCTTTTTGTGCGAAGTCTCTACTGAAGCAAGCTGAAGTATACTACCCCTTTGATAATTCAGGCAACTTCAGCCTGTCTTGTTTTTTGGAACCACTCAGAAGGGCCCCCCTCTCGACTTGCACGCGATCAAACTCCCCAGGCAGGGGGGCTCCTAAGCCTTTCTCCAGGTCACGGAAGACCTCGAGGCCGCTTCGCCATTGGCCTGCTTCCGTATGCGTGCATGCATACATGCCGACACGTGCATTTCCATGAGTGTATTATGTATGTATGTGACCTGTACGCGTAGACCTTTCACTTGCACGTCTGCGCAGGTACGCTGAGTTCTTGCACTTCTGCTTTCAAGCTTTGGAAGCCCCCAGGCCTGCCCCCGTGCAGCTGCCCAGCAGCGCGTTGCAGGCCAAATCGCCCAGGCGCCTCAGGCTAAGGGCTTGGGACACAGGGCCTTTCGTAGGTTTAGAGTTGAGGGTGAAGGGCTGAAGGCTTAGCAGGGCCCATCTCACTGTTCGGTTTGAAGAGGCGTACCTAAAGACCCAGGTGAGCTGCATGGCCCGGGCCAGGAAGCCACGCAGCAAGCTCAGCGCCTGGCGGGGGAGCACAGCCAAGTGGTTGGCTCCACTAACCGAGGAACTTTCAACGGAGCCGATGATACGGTTTATGGTTTTGGGTTGAGGGAAAACCTGAGACAAGCTGAAAGCACCAGCTGCTTCAATGCCAGGACGGAACAGAAGGCCTAGAATAGTCCCCAACAGAGACAGCCGCTTCAACCCACAGATCATGTGCAAGTTGCTTGAAACGCAGTCCGCACTAAGGAATCTGCATCGACATTGGTATCCAGGCTGCAAAACGACGGTAAGCATGTTGTGCCACAAGGCCGGGACTGCTTGCTTGATCAAGAGTCCACTTCCTACAGACTGGAATCGCAACCCATGGACGATGTGAGTGCTGTATCAGATGTTGCTATGGGTGTGCGGCATTTCTTTGTTGATGTGCAGTTTGGGGATGAGAGTAACCATGGTGATCTGCATGGATTGAACTTCGTCTATGACATAGTGGAGGGGTTCTAGCAGCGAGAGCACCACGACCACCTGCTGAAGACGTAACAATCAATTCATATTAAGAGGGCACTGGCAGGTCCAGTCACACAGTATTTGAGCGGGGCTGCCAAGCGCTGCCAAGAGGAAATGCTGAGATGCCTAGCCTGCAAAACCTCCCCAGTCCGAAGCTTGGTAGGCACCCTGGCAATCCGTGTGCCGTTTCCTGAGGTCGACCCCTTCAGTGCCCCAATGCAGGCTAAAGCCCAGGATGCCCGGCATCAGAGAAAAGCATCCCCCCCCCCACTTACACGACACCTCGCCCCGCCCTCTATTGAACCATTCGGCGGCACACCAGACCGACAAATATTAACCAAAAAATCCCGAAATCATATTCCCGAAATCCTTAGCCCAAAATCTCAAGCCCAAATCCCCGCAAAACCATATTCCCGAAATCCTATTCCCAAAATCCCAAGCCCAAAACCCCGAAAAAACACCTTCCCCCATAAATCCCCGTTATTCCTCAACCCAAAATCTAAAAAACACCTTCCCCCATAAATCCCCGTTATTCCTTAGCCCAAAATCACCCGAAAAAACCCAAAACCTAATCCCTTTAATATGCTTAACCATAAGCCCAAAACCCAAGAATAACAATAAGCCTTATGTGGGGCAAGCTCCCTCTTCCGTTCTGCTGGTGGCTACATCGTCTTCGACAACATCAACATTCGAAGGTCTGCCTTGCGAGTTTTGCTGAGATTTCACATTGTCACAGTGCCGCATGAGGTGACTGATGCAATACTTGAGCACTGCTTGAGCGATTCTTCTGTAGCATTTTCTGAGTGTCAAAGCTAAAGCATTGCATCGCCCCTTTGTTCTGCTACGATGGCTTCTTCGTCTGCTTACCCAAGCGCTGGAGAGGTTGAGGGCGAGCGGGTGATTACGCTTGAGGACGCCCAAGCAGCCATCGGGGCTTCTTCGGACAGCGAGGGTTCGGATGGCACAGTTGCTTCAATCCCTTCGGACGATGAGGGAACGGATAGCGGAAAGTCTCTCGATGGGCAAAAGAAGGACAAAGACGACAAGGACAAGCACGACGGAGACGGTGATGCTTCCACTTCGATTTCGGCATCCGCTTCAGCATCTGCTTCGGTTCTCACCACCAAGGACATTATGGAGATGATGGAGGCGATGACCATTGAGGAAATCGAGGATTTCCACGCCGATTACAAAAGCAAGGCGAAGACCGCCATTGACAACTACAAGGCCATCGACAAGCGGTTGAAGAAGATTAAGTCAGATGAAAAAAAGGAGCTACGCCGAAAGGAGCTTGAGCAAACCAGAAAGGAGCAAAAGGGCGAGCGTGAGAAGCGCATCACAATCAACGTCACGATGAACTCGGAGTGCAAGGCTGTCAGTGTGCCCTCAAACGCCACGGGTGCAATGTTCAGGGATGAGGTGGCCCGCGCCTTCAACATCACGGTTCGCAAAATCATCAAGAGCCTACGCATCAACTTCCAAAACGAGGACGTCTTGGACCATCCGAGGCGAACAATGGCAAAGGCAGGCATGTCGGACGGATGCTCGTGCCAAGCGTTCGTCAAGGGTTCGGGAGGAGGCAAGCGCACCAGAGACACAAAGGAAACCAGCAGCACAAAAGAAGACCTTGCTACTTTGATGGACTTCAACATTGCCGCCCCCGAGCCCAAGGACAGCGACACCGTCTTCATCCGCAACGCCTTCAACATCAAGAGCGTCGACATCAAGGAGTGGCTTAAGTCGCTCCCCAACGCCAAGGTCGAGGAGCTGATGAAAAAGATTGACGACAACGATGGAAAGAAAGCCAACCTCAAATACACCGTCGCCCCTTTTTTGGAGTTCATCACGGAGCACAAAAGCCTTCAGGAAAGCGGGGTTTTAAGCTCTTTAAACCCACCAAAAAAGTAGGGGTTTTAAGCTCTTTAAACCCACCAAAAAAGTAGGGGTTTTAAGCCCTTTAAACCCACCAAAAAAGTAGGGGTTTTAAGCTCTTTAAACCCACCAAAAAAGTAGGGGTTTTAAGCCCTTTAAACCCACCAAAAAAGTAGGGGTTTTAAGCCCTTTAAACCCACCAAAAAAGTAGGGGTTTTAAGCTCTTTAAACCCACCAAAAAAGTAGGGGTTTAACATTCCAAAAGGACAACGTGGAGCGTTCCCAGATGGCTATGACCTACATCCGCACCATCTTCACGAAGTCGTATGTGAAATTCACGATGCAGAACGGGACAATGAACCACAAGAAGTTTCAGGGCGCAGTTCGCGATCAGTTGATTGCCAACAGTGGCAATATGGACTTGTGAAGGTTTAAATCTTCACGTGACAGAGTGCGATGAACACGACATCCGAGATTTTGATGTGATACACACTAAATAAAGTCGTTGTGCCGTTTTGGATGTTGCTGTTGAACGCGCCTATGTGCTCATGTCAGAAGCACTCGTGACTGAAGCTGTGACGCATCCTTGAAAACAATGCCAGCAGCTTTGAGACCAGTTTGTAGTAGTCCCAGCTGTGCGGCTTGCGACTTGTGCCCTAAAGCCTAAATCCTAAACCCCCAAAACCCCAAAATATCAAATATCCAGAAGTCATATGCATAAAAAAAAACCCGAAAACAATACCCGCCCAAAATACCCACAAATTCCCATACAAAATACACCCAAAATCACAAAATAAAATATATAATAGACCCTAAACCAACAAATCATAAATCCCCAACCTCGTCCCGATGGGTTTTTTAAAGAAACGCTTTACTAAGAACATGACAGGTCAACCTCCTCATCGACGACATTCACTACAGCGAGTTCGAAGCACTGGTGCGCCCGTGGGTTTAGGGTTTAGTCTTTAGTTTTGAGGGTTAGGGCTTTAGTTTAGGGTTTAGGGCTTTAGTTTAGGGCTTTAGTTTAGGGGTTTAGGGTTTAGGGCTTTAGTTTAGGGCTTTAGTTTAGGGGTTTAGTTTAGGGCTTTAGTTTAGGGTTTTAGTTTAGGGCTTTAGTTAGGGTTTTAGTTTAGGGTTTAGACCCTAAGCCCTAAGCCCTAGAACGCTGACGGCGTCGGCTCTTCCTATCATTGAGACACAGAAGTCTCAAAGTGTCGGATTGTTCTCCGCCCTTTCTTCCAAACCCTAAACCCTAATACCCTAAACCCCAGAAGAAGAGAGAGGAGGGACATTTTGGCTCAAACAAAACACAAAAAAACATAAACTCACGAATACAGCATGTGATGTAGGGATTTTTTCGGTTTTTGAATCAAAACCGAAACAATCCGACGAAAAAATCAAAACATATATCAAACATATAGCAAAACAAAGCACAAAACAACAAAAACATCAAAATCATAGAAAACACATAAAACAAATATCCTCACTAACATTAAGGACTTTTTAGACTTTCAGCAATTTATGAAGGTTGTTAAATAACAACCAAAATTATTACTGAAGGTCTTAAACTTTCAGTAATTCATGACGCAAATAACCGCGCCCATTAATATAATAATATTTTTGTCCCAAAACAGTTTTGATATCATCAATACTATAGGAATTTTCGCTCCAATTGCTCACACGTTCCTTATCCAATTTGTCTTTTTTCTTAAATATTTTGACTTTATCGCCTTTTTCTAATTCGGGATACTTTCGGGTTTTTGTGGCATTCATTGCAATATTAGCCTTAACTTTGAGTTCGTTTTCGGGCTTTTTTGCTTCCTTAGGTGTTAAATCAGTGGCTGAATGAACCATTTTGTTATTATATGTTATCATTATCTCAAATATATAATCTATCCATTGAATATTCTCTTTACCCTTTTTCTCATCTGCTTCAACTCTTTTAAACAACATATCTTTAAACGTGCGTATAAAACGCTCCGCAAATGCTGGGTGTGTTCTGGTTTGGTGTGTTTCTATTTTCTCCTTATCAAAATATTCTTTTAATACACCACTGTTTAAACTACCTTCTTCATCCGAATATACTAATTCTGGTTTCTTACCCATTTTGTTTATTCCTTCCATTATTCCCGCTAATAAATCTGGTGGTTGCTTACTTTTAATAGGAACAACTACCGCAAACTTACTAAATATGTCTTTTACTACTAAACCAATTCTAAACTTTTGATTTTTTAAATCATTATTTGTAATAAACAATAAGTCTATTTGATATTCATAATACGCATAAGGTGCAATAAAAGAATTAAACCCCGACATCGGTCTTTTCCTATCCAGATTCTTTTCAAACCACGCCTTAACATCCGCCAACGTAATACTCTTATCTTTAGCCTTAGCATCTTTAAATGTTGTGGCAATGCTTCCAAATCCGCTTCTATCAAAATAAATATCCGAAATAATCTTATTCTTGTCTGACATTGATAATATATATAATATATATTATATATATATATTATCGAATTATCTCGCGCAACAATTGCAAAGAACACACATACTATTGCAATTGCTGATATAATGTGCCTTGTCATTGTTCAGCCTATTAGCCGATAAATTGGTAGTGAGCTTGTGGTTAACCCTTTCAACTA